CACTAAGAATGCAGTCTTGGACAAGTTAGTTTACCACTCTCTATGCTTCAACTATCTCAACTGTAAGATGAGGATTACAGTTGATATGCGTATTAAATAAGGAATGTGTGCATGACAGAGGCCTGGTATTTTCTATGAGCAATATAGAGATTTGTTAAACTTAAAAACAAAAGGAGCTTCAATGTCCTTTTAGAATGCAGTAAAAAGAAATAGTAAATAATGAGCAAACTGTATTTTATCACAGCTTTGTAGATGTTATTAAACACATTGTAAAACAAGAAGTATAGCTCAAGCAGTAATTATAACTACTTCAAGATGGCTAAGTAAATATTTGAACCAAGTCTGATATAGATTATATTTGTCTTTTACATACCTCTGCCACTATATGCCTTTATACACCTCTGTCTTGAGAATGACACCTTCTCGGGGCTGGAGATGGCTCAGCGGTTAAGAACATTGGTTGTTCTTGCAGAAGACCTGGGTTCAAATCCCAGCACCCACATGGCAGCTAACAACTGTCCGTAACTCCAGTCCCAAGGGATCTGACAGCCTTCTGACCTCCGCGGGTATTGCAGAACACACGGGTGCACTTACCTACATGCAGGCAATACGCACATAAAATTAAAAAAAAAAAAGAATGACACCGTCTCAAAAGACTTGTGGTAATTATGGGTTTCACATATGTGAATCTGCTCTGCAAGTGGAAGTGTACAGTGTACACAACATGTGATGAAGATGGTCTAGTATACTATGCTTTAGGTTATTTTAGGATTCAAACATTAAAAGTTAATGACAACAAATTCCCCATGTAGATTTGTTTAAAAGAAGGAACCTCCAAGAATATTTGACTTTGTAAATTTTTCTTTGAAAGTCAACAAGATTTTCAGCAACTCCTACAGAGCAGCGTAACATCAGATCCCTCTGAAAATTACAAGCACCACTATGAATTCCATAAGCCATACAACCAATAACCATATAGTATTTTTCAATCAAAGGCAACATTTTACCGGAATTAACTTTAAAATGTAGGTCTCCAGGGGGCATCAGAGAGTAGACATTATGAGGGCCCTGATGTTTAAGTGCAGGATGGGATGCTATTCTCAGGAATGTTCTCGATTTTCAACTTCAGCAAAGCAGTTCTTCTAGGTGATTTTATCTTCTAGGTGACTTCATCTCTACATGTGTCAACAGTTCTCCTTACTGATCCAGAGTTCCCTGTACTAGAAATTCATAAAAGTGATGCCTCAAGTTTCCAGGCTAGAGTCAGGATTTCATTTGTTATGTTTAAATCAGAAAAATCAAGACTACTTCTGAGGATGTTGATGATTTTATAAGTTAAACATAAAAGGGCACACAGCAACTAACCATGGACTGGCAAGAAAAGAACCAGGCAAGAATGGAAAGAATTTATCCTGAGGGAAAATAAAACTGGCTTGAGGAATGCATGCAGGGGATTTAATAAGATCACATTTGTATTTGGAGAACTGTGTTTTGGTTAATGACGGGAGAGCTTAAGTGTGGAGCAGAAGGCAGGAACTACTGGTGTGAGGTTGAGGTTTCTGAATCAGGGCAGAGGGTTGGACTAAAAGTTCAGAAGGCAAAATTCTAGCACTCAGGCAATGATGTAACCTGAGGGTTGGGGAAGGAGGAGGGTCAAGTGCCCAAGGCACTAAGACTACACTAGGTATGTGTGCCTGCCTCTCATTCCAGCACACCCAGCACTCCCATGAGGTTCATTATGACCATGAAACTTGGTCAGGCCAGGAAAAAGTGAGATCAGCTAAGGTGACACATTACAATCCAGAGTGTAATTCACTATCCACAGGAGCCAAGTGCATGACAGTGTCTCTGTCTGCCTGGTTCCCAGAGTAAACAAAGTCACTAAAACAAAAGCTCCTTACCCAAATGTAGTCTAACCTGGACATGCATCAAGCAGAGTGAGCAAACCTTTGCTTTCACCCACTGAGACTGGAGGTCCTTTCTGTCAGCCTAATTCAGTCTATCCTGAATAATCTAGTAAGAAAGCAATATGGTCATCTTAGATATGTCTAGTTAAGAACAGTACTCAGTAACACATAAACTGTAAGTTTAGAAACTGGTTATAATGCACAGGAATACCTATAGATACAAGATTTCACCAAAGGCACTGTGGGAAGGGGAAGCTGTACTATTTCCCACAAGAAATGACAGGCAGGAAAATGTAAACACATAAACACCCTATCTCTTATAGCGTACACACCAATACTATAAAGTGTTATTTCTGTTTGAGTTTCAAACATGGCTTGTCAGCTTTTCTAGTACGAGAAGAATTATGGTTCACAGATGAGAAGCAAAGGAAGCTTCTTTCCTTCTTCCATACATGCAACTTTTACAACTAGTTCCTGCCTCTAAAACATAAATACAACTACCTTGACCACTAATAATAACAGCAGCTAGCAGTTATTTACAAGTACCTACAGGCCAAGCAAAATAATGCCTTCACAACAGTAGCTTATTCAATACTCCTAACACTACTTCATTTTACAAATGAAGAAGCTTGGAGTTCACACAGCGGGAACCAAGTGAGGACTGTTTTCAAAACTTGCGCTTCCCATGACCTCCATACCTAACTTCCTCTTGGACATGTATTTTTTATTCATGAACAGTGAGAAAATGAGAAAGGAGCTTTAACTGGAAGGTAAGGGGGAAAAAACAACCCTCTCAAAGATTCAAAGATAGGGAGGAAAGTAGAAAACAAAAGAAGAATACTGGGCAGGAATGAAGGGTATGAGGTAGAGAGGGTGTTGACAGAATATTCTAGAGGGCCAAAGGGAAAAATCAGGCTAAAGGTAACATCACCCTATACTATGCTCTCTTCCTCTCGCATATCCTGGGCTAACAGCATACAACTACTTATGGCTCAAAGGGCTTCTTCTATGAGGAGAAGGTTTAGGATGAAGAGGATTATCAGACCATGCTTAGTGGCTTTCTCAACCCACCCTGCTTCTGGCTATTTTTTTTTTTTAAAATAAGATGTACCTTACCAGCTGATTATTGGTTCAGACTATAGCTCTGTGCCTTATGGGTAACTGTACAAGTTCCTAGCTAGATGAGTCTCCATTTCTTTCTTAGTAAAATGATAATGATACCCATTTCAATAGTTTTTCTTTTCTTTTTCTTCTCATGACTACCCAAGGCCAAAATGAAAGTCACCTAACCCCTTGTTTTAACCTCAACTACATATTTAAATCATTCACAAATTTAATACGTAAGAGACATTAGAAAAGGAAAATGTAACACTGTCAATCAATGTCTTCCTCAATATCCATGGCTTTCTCAGGCAGTAAATATACCATGAAGATGTGGGCTGAGGTTCTACTCAGGCCACAGTTCAAAGTTTGACTCCATTATTTATTGACCATCTAGGTGACCTTGGTCAGTAACAACACAAAGAGCAAACAGTGGATAACATAAGCCAGCTTGTGCTTGCAAGCCAGCCTGTTGCATGCACTCATCTTCCGTAATCTTAGTGGCCTAGCCAACAAGTTCAACTACTTTCCTCATTTTACAAAGAGAAATTGAAGCGTAGAGGGAAGAGGCAACTTTGGCCACCAAGGTCGCCAGATTCTAAGAGGGTAGGACTCCACAGCACCAGCCTAGTGCTCTCAATTAGTAGGCAGTCTATCAGATCCACACAATCATTTCGGCAGGACTCGCTAAGAGACTGAAAATAATACCTGGAAAAAGCTAAGGATAGTAGTTGCCACACAGCTGGCAGTTGAGAAAAGTTTTATTGGAGGACAGAAAACAAATGATTAGAATAAATCTATGCAGGTCTCTGGACTCCAATCATTTTCAAAGTCTTGGTACAGCTGAGGCTGGTCACAATTTGTTTATATTGCACATGGTGAAATGGAACCAGTTTAAAGGCTGAGGTCAAACCACTGCTCCATCTCTTATACTTCCATGCAGTTTTCCCAGACTTGATGGGTTGAGCCCTTGGGGAATCTGTGTGAACTCCGTGGTTTAGAATCACTGAACTTCAGAAGCTCAGTCATTTGGACCCTTTACTTTAAAATGAAGTAAAAGCTGGGTGTGGTGACTCATGCTTGTAATCTCAGCACTAAGGAGGCTGAGGCAGGAGGATCACTACTGGTCTGAGGCCTCCCTGGGCTATATACAATGAGCTCCAGGACAGCCTGGGGTAGGGAATTAGAACACATCTTTAAAACCAAAAAAGGTCAGATACGCTTAATAATTTGTTCTAAAGTCATAAAGCTTCCCATCAGATGGTCACCTCCCCACTACCAGTGTTTCTTCAGTCACAAAGATGGAAACTAGCTACAGAACAAGCAGAATATAGGCATACAAGGATAACCATCTATAAATACTGTGCCCAGGAGAAGCAGGTGCCCACTGAGCACCAACATCTGTCCTAGGGAGTTTTAGTCACCACTCAATGATGTCAAAAGTTCTTCTCAAAGATAAACACGGTTTTTTCTTTTACATAGTATTACAGCAAATTACTTGAAGAAAAGCTGCCTGTTACAAATTTAGAAAACGCCAAGATATGTTGCCTACAGCTGTTCCCCCAAAGCTAGCTCCAAAGCATTCCTCAGCCCCAGGTTACCAGGAACTTGATCAAAACCCTGGGGGCATTTATGCAGGGTAGAGAGAGGGAGAGCTAGGGAGGTCAAGGAGAAGCGCTACAGCCCCAAAGCTGCCAAAGCTGCTTCAGAAATAAGATGGCAGAGGGACACTTTGATTTGTGTCTCCCTGGATCCAAATTTTTAAAATTTCATTTTTAATCAAACTCACATCCCTTAAAAAAAAGTTTGCTCTACTAGATCTACTGAGAACCCCGTGTTACCTGTACTTGTAGGATATATTTCTCGGGGTCCCATGGAAAGCAATCGTCGGCGTCTCTTTGTTGATATCCATCAGATGGAGCGGCCTCTCAGGGCAGTCAAAGGCCGCTGAAAGAGATCTGCAGAGGGCTAGGACGGCGGGACCCCACTTACCGAAAACACTGCATTCTGGAGCCCGAACGGTATGGGAGTCAGCCGGGCCAGCGCTACCACCTTCAGGCCGCTTCCCCCCTCCACGACGCGGATAACTGCACTCAGCTTGTCGCTGCTCTGGATGCGGGCGGCCACCCAGGCGGTGAGCAGCCGCTTGCAGACCACATGGGCGATGAAGGTGCCGATGAGGACGCCCACCACCATGAGCCCCATGCCCAGGACGAAGCCGTACAGGTAGCCGGCGGCCACGTTGAGCACGATGTAGCCCCAGCCGCAGGGGAACGACACCACGATGAAGCCCACGACGAAGAGCAGGACCCCGAGCAGCGAGTCGAGGCTCTCCACCCAGAGAAGGAGGTGCTGCAGATAGCGGCGGACCAGGGCCAGGGAAGCGAAGCACAGTGCGGCCAGCACGCACACCAGCACGAGGCTCCGGCACCAACAGGTGCTGCCGAGGCAGCAGCACCGCCAGCTTCTCACCTCGGCCACCCCGACCACCACGCCGCCGCCGCTCCCGGGGCCGCCAGCCCACGCCCCGGCCAGCGCCGGCAAGTCCAAGACCGCGGGCGGACCCTGGCGCTCCAGATAGGCGCCGAGTAGGGCGCCCGAGGC